TTCTTTTTTTTTTAATGATTTTATAGTTTGGTTTCACTAAACATGTTCAATCATCAGAAATCAGTATTTCACTTTTGCTGTAAACTCATAATCATCTTTATTTTGACTCTCTAAGCTGGTCAGTCTGATGTTTTCAGTGCTTTTTCCAAACCAGCACAGGCTGATAGCTGCATCAGTCAGAGCCGGTCTAAATGAACGTCATCTCTGATCACATGATGGTTCCTGACCGCCGTGACCAACCCGAACACCTCCGTCAGCCTCTTCCTGAGCCCGCTCTGTTGGCCATTTTCAGCACAGGTGTAAACGTGTATGAAAGCTCCATCTCTTTCTTCTATGCAGTAATCCAGGCTGACAGTCAGCCTGTAAAAATCAGGTTAGATTTTGATGAGGAAGACCTTCGATTTTACTGTAATTTACTTACTTGACCCGAGTCTCTCCCCAAACCATGGCCTGGCACCGGTCCTGAAAAACCATCAAAGAAATTAAAGCAGATACATGTTGAGAAGAAAAAAAAAACACAACTTTATGTGTCTTCTCCAATCCCGAGACTTTTTATTTTAAGAATATAACTTTTATAGGATTTCTGAGTAGATCCGTTCTGAGCAGACTGAAGCGATTGCACACTTGTCCTCCATATTGCATCATTTCTAAATGTTGCCTCTTGTTTACAAATAAAATCTTTATATGATATGAGCTAGACATGCTTTCGATAGTAAATTTGAACTGATTGCTACATTTGCATTGAATTTGTGTTTAAAGTTTATTTGTATAGTGCTTTTCACGATGCAAATCGTTGCAAAGTAGCTTTACAGAAAATAAACATTTCTACATTATATTTAGTAATAGCTTATCAGTGGCTATTGATTTTCCGTTTAATGTTTACTCTGCACAAATGTACCATGTGTTATTTTTGGCTGTAGTACCATGGTATTTTCTGCACTTTAATTAAGACGTAAATAAGTGATAAATATTAGTATTGTAATTTTACAGTTATGCTTTAAAATAAAACTAATATTATTATATTATTATTTTTCTAAAATACAATCCAGAGGCATATTATAATAGTATTTTTTTAATAATAATAATAATAATTTATAGTATATTTTATAGTTTAGTACTATAGTATTTTATTTATTATTATTATTATTATTATTATTATTATT